TCATTACTGCATTCCTTATTGTTAATGTTGAAAACAGTTTATATATATATAATGTGTGTGTCTGTGTGTCTGTGTGTCTGTGTGTCTGTGTGTCTGTGTGTGTGTGTGTGTGTGTGTGTGTGTGTGTGTGTGTGTGTGTGTGTGTGTGTGTGTGTGTGTGTGTGTGTGTGTGTGTGTGTGTGTGTGTGTGTGTGTGTGTGTGTGTGTGTGTGTGTGTGTGTGTGTGTGTGTGTGTGTGTGTGTGTGTGTGTGTGTGTGTGTGTGTGTATATATGTATATGTTTATTTTTCATTTTTTTGAAGCCATGATACATTTTTTTGATGAATAGAAACAGCATTTATTTGAAATAGAAATCTTTTTTAACATTATAAATGTCCATACTGTCACTTTTGATCAATTTAATGCATCCTTGCTGAATAAAAGTAATCATTTGATCCAAAAAAAAAAAAAAAAATTTTACTGACCACAAACATTTCAACAGTATGTAAAGACCACGGTAAAGACACACATTACAGCACAGTTGAATTAGTGAACCAAGATACAATAAACCCAACAATGTCAACTATGTTTACAATAAGATAGCAGCTCAACATTGGGTCTCACAATTTCACAATACAGTTTTAGGAGGGTAACTGTCAGGTTGAGTGCAGGTAGCTGAAGACGAGGACAAGAGGACTTCCAAAAATAGCTGATTTATTTACAAAATATACTTCTATAAACATACAGGAACGAAATAACAAACTTCAGGTAAAACACAACCATACAAGGACGACGACCAACAAACACTGAGGGAAAACACAGGGCTTAAAAGAACTGGGACTAATGGGATAATTAACTGAACACAGGTGAAGAAACTGAACACAAACGAGGACTGGGAAAAACTAACAGGACTAAACCAAAAATTACAAAGACAGGGGGAAACAAGATTACAAAACTGAACTAAACACACTGAAAACGTGACAGAAACACAGTAGATCTTTTTTTTTATTAGCCAATTGTTTTAATTATTTTTTTTAAATAAAGCTGGATGTTAAATATTTTATCAATACAAAATGAAGTCCAATACCAGCGTCATTATTGTAGGAAGTGGCCTAACCCTTAAAAGGAAACTGTGCTTTGCCCTTTGACCCACATACCCCTGAGTCACAGAGTTACAGAGACAGACGAGACCTGACCCCGTCATCCGGAAACGGGTGAGCTTTGCGCAATGCACACGCACAGGCCTACATCATCAACACACACACACGCTCCAGCTGTTTCTGGATATCAGACAGACAGATTTGCTGATCTGTATTTTTTTTCTATTCTTAGATTTAAAATGATATAGTAATACATGCATCATTCTTACATCATTCACACATCAGCAAACATCAGGACATATCAAATGCTTGTTTTCTAGATGGCCAATAGGCTACAGTTACATCACAGACACAATGTGCTACTTGATATTATTTGGTTGCAGATGGATGAGGTCATGACACAAATACAGTAAGGTCATATGATAACAAATGTATCATACTACTGTTTGAAAGTTAGTTTATTGCAAAATGTCTTCTGTTTCACTTACTGTTTTTAAATAATAGGGCAGAGTAGATATACAGTATCATCAATATACAGAGGCGGACAGAGTACAGAGCTTTGTTACTTGAGTAAAAGTACAGATACCCCTTGCTAAATTTTACTCAAGTACAAGTAAAAGTACTACATTCAGATGTCTACTTAAGTAAAAGTACTAAAGTACTTGTTTTTAAAAGGACATGAGTATCAAGAGTACAAGAGTAGATTTTCTAAATATTGCATTACTAATCTACTGCCACAGTGCTTACATTTATGCACAGAAACGTCCTACATGGAGTTATGAAAAATGTTAATGTTAATACCTTGGAGAATGTAAAAGGAATTGAAAGTAAAATCAAGTCATTTTCATCTTTTTACCATGTTGCTTTTTTTAATTTAATTATAAAGCCAATAAAGCACCTAAAAGCTGTCACAAAGAACCGGCAAAAGGAATGATTATGAATATGTAAAATATAGCAAGGAGATATTTTAATTGTTTATTAATAAACACAAGTGTTTTCTTTGTCAGTGTCGGCTAGATGAAGTTGACGATGCTGACTCGCGATCTTCAGTAGTGAACGCGCCAGAGAGAAATGCACATTTCATACGGATTACATAAGCCGAGAGCAGTCTGTAGTCTGTTTTCTTTTGTTTTGAATTTTTCTGTTTAAAAGTAGACATGTCTGTGAGAGGCAAGTAGGCTACCTTATACACTGAGTTTCGGCTCATTTATGAGACGAGATCCAGTTCACGTGCCGGCGCCTCCGTTTCTTATCTATCGTCTGCTATTTACTTCTTATTTATTAAACCCAGGCAATTGGTTGATGAAACATTGATTAAAATTAAGATACAATAATGCAAAACGAAATTCAGGTTAAAGAAAGGTTTTGTGTTTTCTGTTTGATGTCTCTGTGAAATTTTTAAAGCATTTTTTATGCCGCTTTCAGAGCGCTCACGTCCGTAACGGAGAACACGTCCATAACATTGTTTTTTTTCTCATAAATGCAAACCCGAAAAATAAAATAAAACAAAATTAATATTTTATGTACTGTGGAGACTGAGCGCCAACCCTTCTTCATTCGCTGGGTAGTAGCCTACTTTGGTTTGCGCAGTGTAATTCACATTATCAGTAAAAATATATTTTGCCTCCTAAAGTTTTTTTTTTTTAAGAAATCAGAAATCCCTCGTGGCTACGCCACTGCCACATTTGAACCATGACTGTGTTAAACACACCACATACTCAAGAAAATCAAACCAAATGCTTGGCTTACATTAATGTGTAATATACAATATGACCATGGAGTTGACTTTGGCGGAAAGCTGAAAGTGATTGATTTTTTTTTTTTACTCGGGTACTCACGGTTATGGATAGAAATGTATTGGAGTAAAGAGTACAATATTTGCCTCTCAAATGTACTTGAGTAAAGTCATGAGTACTCCCCAAAAATGATACTCGAGTAAAGTACAGATCCCTCAAAATTGTACTTAAGTACTGTACTCAAGTAAATGTACTCCGTTACTGTCCGGCTCTGTCAATATATATCTCAATATAAATTAAACAAACTCGAATATATACGCATAAGTTTAGCATCCAGAATGGACAATCAGAACTGGGTAGATTACTTACGAATTGTAGTCAGTTACTGATTCCAAATTACATGACAAAAAATGGGAATATAAAAACATTTAAGGGAATATAATCTGACTTCTTTTTTGATTACTTTTGACCTAAATTGCTTATCACATTGAATAGGATAATATTGTACCATATTGATATAAAATACAAAAAGGGAAAGAAAATATATTCCATTTTTTGTTATCAACAACATAAGTGCATTAAAAATTACATTACTGCAGGGTTTCCCAGAATGAGGTTCATGATGGAACTGCATGCAGGGGGTTTGAGAGTTTAATGAAAAGCTATTAATTAAATAATAAAAAAATGTAATTATATTATTTGAAAATAAAACACTTAAATATTAAAAAAAAAAGATTAAATATTTTATTTGTTTAGCTGCATGTCATGTGACAATTAACTGACATCAGAGAACCGTGAACTTAATTTTGTTATTTATTATTACTATTGACTTAATTTTATTATATTGACATAACTTATTAACTTAATATCTCAGGGGGTACTTCAAGTAAATATATTAGATCAAAGAGGTTCAGCGGACAAAAAAGTCGGGGAATCTCAGCATTGCATGTAAATATAAAATTACATGAATTTGTACATTTTAATGTGTTTGAAAGACAAAAGCCTTTCCAAAGATAATATGTGATTAAATGACTCACTAAGTGATAATTCAATATTTAATGTGTTTGTCACTGATTAGATTTAAAATGTTGAAATGTTGCGAAAATTGTGTTTGGGTCTCAGTTTTCAGGGATAAGGCACATGTGGCAGGTCAGTGTTAATTCCACAAGCCCAGAAGACATTCCACAAACCTGGAAGCCATTGTGAGAATGACATGTTATCATATAATCAATAAAAATGTAACTGTAGTCAAGTATTTTAAAACTTAATATAATCTAATTGCAAGTACTTAATATTTGGAATCTGATTAAGTACTCCAGATTAGAGTAATCATGTAATCAGTTACTACCCAGCACTGTGCACAATTATACATATATAACAATTTCTGAACACAGAATATTTTAGTGCTACTTTATGTCCTCCATATGATGGCAGTACTTGCCAATGATCCCAGTAGGTTTAATGACAGCTGCACAAATATAGTGCTATTGCTAGAGGGCACTGCTGAGCCATATTCTACAGCTTACTGTCCCGAGAGCATGACTACAGTTTGGGTCCGTTTGTTTTTGTTTGTGTTGTTTTCCTAAACTTTAGGAAAACAACACAAACAAAAACAAACACTGGACTTCAGGGGATGTATAACCAGACATTCATGATATGATACCATGTCTAGCGGGTTTCAAGGAAATACAAACCAGAGATTCTTCATTAGAAAAGCCATAATAGTGCAAATAAAGCGTTCTGACACCGAAATTATGCTTATTAGCTAAGTTTAGTCATATCTTCATCATCTGTCATATTTTTATTTATATATACTGTAATTACTTGTATTAAAATTGTAATTATTACTGCAGAGCACAGGAATGGCCTACATATGCGACTGGAAATTTCGTGTTGCCAATAATGCACATTAAATTGAATAATAAGTGAGAGAGAAAGTGATGAAAGGAAAGCACTGACCAAACCTAACAAAATACAGTTAAGTCTTCTCCATTACGCTATTATTCCATTAGGAGAGAGAGAGAGAGAGAGAGAGAGAGAGAGAGAGAGAGAGAGAGAGAGAGAGAGAGAGAGAGAGAGAGAGAGAGAGAGAGAGAGAGAGAGAGAGAGAGAGAGAGAGAGAGAGAGAGAGAGAGAGCTGCTATCATAACTCCGCCTCCGGCTTCATTCAGACTGCATTCTTTATTCCTGTAGTCTTTACTCTGGAGAAAAGGGGAAAGTAGGGGAGGAGAAACACGCGCCGGTAGTGGGATGGACGGGAAAGCATGGAGTCCGCTCGCGCATATTTGAGCTGACAGAGACGAGACGAGCGCATCCCAACACGAGAGCTCTGAACACTTCACCTATGAATGAATGACGGGTCGCTCTCCTTAGACGACCCCCAAAAAATCCCCGACCCCATTCATCAGCTTAAATAACGACTGGACACTGAGTTCGGGATATTTGGGACTTTCTACAGCGTCTCAGCGGCGATCTTAAGATTTATCGAGCATCTGGACACGTCGCTGAGGAAACCATGGAGACGGAATCGTCCCAGTTAGGGAGTAACGGAGCGAATGAAAGTGAGCTTCTACCGGTGGACTATCCGGGAGGAGAGATGCCAGCTTCTCTCGGTTCACGGAGAGGGTCCAGCGTGAAGAAACATCACCACAAACACAACCTGAAGCACCGCTACGAGCTGCTCGAGACCCTCGGGAGAGGTACATATGGAAAAGTGAAAAAAGCCATAGAGAGGCACACTGGACGTGTGGTGAGTTGACAATCATCCATATAAAAGACTGAAAAATGACCTATACTCTTTGGCTCAGGAAATCCAGTGCAGTTCTCAAAAGGGTATCAAATAAGTTTCAGATGTTTCTATTAAAATTCTTTGAGATAAACAGACATTAAGTCAAGAATAAGCTGGAGCTATAAAAGCTGAAGTTGTATGAACCAGGTCATTTGGTCTTGGTGACTTGGCAAATCTTTTCTGGGATCCTTGATAAATATGGTGTTTTTTCCCCCATCATGGAGAAGCAAGAGACAAGAGAAGGTCACTGTTTAAACTCGTTGTAGAACAGAGATATTAAAAAGATCTATTTTTGTCTTTCTTATGGGAGAAATTGTGTGGGTTTCACTCTATATTCTTCTTCTTCTATATCAGTTGACTTAATCAAACATTCCTTTGAATTGTTTGTGAAAGTAAATTCGCCTCTAATGGCCATCATTACATGCACAATTTCACCGGGCAAGTGCTGTCTTCCGTCCCTCAATAACCGGGGTCAGATCATTTAGGTCATAGGAGTTGAGCAGGTCAAAGGTTTCAAAGCACGAGAGGTATGTTTATGTCGCAAGTAACCTAAGCTCCTTTATATCACTCTGGACTTCGCTAAGAAATGCATACCATCTGTAGAGCGAGATAAGTTGGAAAAACTAGGATAAACCACTTCTGCTTTGGAAGTAGGTCAGCACATTAATCCTGAGACAGATCTGCATCTTGAGTAGGGCAGATATGGACCTATTGGTCAGATCTGTGGGCGAGAGAAATGTGGCCTGATGTCAACAGCTGCTTGTGCAGAGGATGTTCTCAGAGTCACGTCCGGGACATGGTAACCCAATAAAGCAACCACTTAGGAGCCTTTCCGCAGAATTAACGCCGCCTGACTAGACGGACACATTAGATGGTGTGGTTCTGTGGAGACCAACACAGCAGGTTGTGTTTTCTGTGTCGAAGGCCAATGCTAAATCTGAAGGGTGCAGATAAACTCAAGTGTTTGTGTGCTGATGATTCTGGCAGCAGCAAATAATGTTCCAGCATATGCATTTAAAAAAGCTATCTCTGCCAAAACACGAGTGAGCTTCAGCGATTTGCTTTGTTAACTTTGTTGTTTAAATGGGTGTTCAGGGCGAAAAAAGACGAGTAGACATTGTAGACTGCAAGGTGTTAAAAGTAGCATAAACTCAAACGCATTTAGCAGAGCTGACAAATTCTGAAGTCGCGGTCCACACTCATTGTCTGAATGGACTGATTGTTGAATCTTAAGAATGCATGACTCACGCTAGTAGTGAAAGGAAGTTTTTATATCATTGTAGGCTGAATTAAACCTGAATAAGTATTCTTTCTCTTTGCATCTACTTCTTTATAGTATGGCATTCTTAGCACATGTTCAATACAAGTTTTAAATAAAATAATATTTAATATAATATAATAGGCCTAATAGTATAGGCCTAGTATAGTATTATATAAACATCTCTCTTTAGAACTTACAAAAAAAAAATAGTACTGAAATAGGTGTATGCCAATGCTTTCTATAGGAATAAAAAATGATTCATATGATTTACAGTATGTATCTTTTCTTAAATACTGTTCAAAAGTTTGGATTTTTTCCCAGAAAGAAATTAATACTTTGTAGCAAAGATGAGTAAAATGACAGTAAAGACATTTACAAAAAAAAAAAAAAATGTATATATATATATATATATATTTTTTTTAAATGCTGTTCTTTTTGACCTTACTATTCAAAGAATTCTGAAAAAAAATGTATCATAGTGTCCACAAAAATATTAAGCAGCACAACCCTTTTGAATCGACAGTCACAAAGAAACCTTAGGTTAGGCTATGGCATGAGGTACTTAAACTTTCTGGATGATTTAAATGCTTATACACACATTCTAAAAATATGAGTGTTTTTATTGAAAGGAAACTGACAGTGTATGTTTGGAGAGGTAGAAAGATGGAAGCGGAAGGTGGAAAGAAACAATGTGACGACAGGCTTTCTTTTTTTGCTCATTCATTGTGTTCAATTCTCTATGACGCATTGCTCCGCACGAGTGCTCCGGTGAGTAAAGGTGCTCCCTTTTCCCCTTAAACGGCGGACAGGTAAAACAACACAGCTGTTGTGTGAGGCTTCGACAATGGCCTGGTCTATGTCTGAGAGACAATGAGAAGGCTTCAGTTATAGCCAGGGGTTAGAGAAGAGCAAAGACTAAAGCCAGCTGGCATAGGCATCAAACACAGGTTGGCTTAATGATCTGTAGCCACAGGCAGGGAAACAATACCACTCAACCATGTGCGCTTGCTTCAGCACGGTCAAAGAATCACCTGCACACCCATCTGCTGCCATGCAATTTTAATGAGTTTATGCTTTCACTATAATTGTTTATAAGTTTGAGAGGAGAAGACATTACATCACATTATAATGTCCTAAAGTGGCTTTTAACACACATTGGGTACACACACACACACACACACTATTTCTGGCTCTATCTTACAGTCTCTTTAAACCATTCACCATTCTAGTGACAAACACCAGACTGAAACCAGACAGATCATATCCAAGTATGAGTGTTACATAAGTCACTGATAAGGTAACATGCAATCCATGCATTGCAGATATCGTTAGACAAGAAAACAATACATTGCATGCACACCCTGCTCAGACGTTTTCATTTTGCCCCTAAAAGGCTTGGGGTGGCAGTTTATTGGTGCCGTGAACAACACTGGGTGGACAGGAAGTCAGCTCTGTCAGCACCACTTCCCCTTCTGAGTGTTTTATGAGTCAGTGGAGGAACAGGCTGCAAACTTCCTGCAACTTTAATCCCTCCTCATGACCACTCAGACTTTAGTAAGGCAGAAATCTTCTCAGCATCCTCAAGCACACACACACACACACACACACATTATATATATATGTGTGTGTTTATATATATATTATATATATACACTCACCGGCCACTTTATTAGGTACCCCATGCTAGTAACGGGTTGGACCCCCTTTTGCCTTCAGAACTGCCTCAATTCTTCGTGGCATAGATTCAACAAGGTGCTGGAAGCATTCCTCAGGGAGTTTGGTCCATATTGACATGATGGCATCACACAGTTGCCGCAGATTTGTCGGCTGCACATCCATGATGCGAATCTCCCGTTCCACCACATCCCAAAGATGCTCTATTGGGTTGAGATCTGGTGACTGTGGAGGCCATTTTAGTACAGTGAACTCATTGTCATGTTCAAGAAACCAATTTGAAATGATTAGAGCTTTGTGACATGGTGGAAGTAGCCATCAGAGGATGGGTACATGGTGGCCATAAAGGGATGGACATGGTCAGAAACAATGCTCAGGTAGGCCGTGGCATTTAAACGATGCCCAATTGGCACTAAGGGGCCTAAAGTGTGCCAGGAAAACATCCCCCACACCATTACACCACCACCACCAGCCTGCACAGTGGTAACAAGGCATGATGGTTCCATGTTCTCATTCTGTTTACGCCAAATTCTGACTCTAACATCTGAATGTCTCAACAGAAATCGAGACTCATCAGACCAGTCAACATTTTTCCAGTCTTCAACTGTTCAATTTTGGTGAGCTCTTGCAAATTGTAGCCTCTTTTTCCTATTTGTAGTGGAGATGAGTGGTACCCGGTGGAGTCTTCTGCTGTTGTAGCCCATGCGCCTCAAGGCTGTGCGTGTTGTGGCTTCACAAATGCTTTGCTGCATACCTCGGTTGTAACGAGTGGTTATTTCAGTCACTGTTGCCCTTCTATCAGCTCGAACCAGTCTGGCCATTCTCCTCTGACCTCTGGCATCAACAAGGCATTTCCGCCCACAGAACTGCCACTCACTGGATGTTTTTTCTTTTTCGGACCATTCTCTGTAAACCCTAGAGATGGTTGTGCGTGAAAATCCCAGTAGATTAGCAGTTTCTGAAATACTCAGACCAGCCCTTCTGGCACCAACAATCATGCCACGTTCAAAGTCACTCAAATCAACTTTCTTCCCCATACTGATGCTCGGTTTGAACTGCAGGAGATTGTCTTGACCATGTCTACATGCCTAAATGCACTGAGTTGCCGCCATGTGATTGGCTGCTTAGAAACTAAGTGTTAACGAGCAGTTGGACAGGTGTACCTAATAAAGTGGCCGGTGAGTGTATATACTGTATATATGTGTGTGTGTATATATATATATGTGTGTATATATATAGGATAAGACTTTTAGATAGTGAGAGTAAATACAATTACTTTACCAGCTAATTCAGTAAAAAAAATTATAACAAATAAGAGGTTCTTTGAAAGCAGACTTTTGAGTGCAGACACATCTCTGTGATAGAGCCTGTTTGGGAGCTTCTAAATGGGACATTTAAAAATAACTCCCGTGGTGCGCCTACTCCCGAAAAAGCCATTCACCTTCACAGAAACCCATTTTTTGCTCAAGGTTAGAGCTGCTCACAGCAGAAAAATAGTACTGAAAACAGGAGTGGGCAATGCTTTCTAAGGAATCAAAAACGATTTATATCATTTACAGTATATATCTTTTCTTTTCTTTTTCCAGAAAGAAATTCGTATTTTATTTAGCAAGGATGAATTCGATTGATCAAAAGTGACAGTTAAGACATTTATAATGTTACAAAAGATTTCTATTTCAAATACATGCTGTTCTTTGGCCCTTTCTATTGAATTCTGAAAAAAATATATATATATGACAGCTTCCAAAAAAAAAAATTAAGCAGTACAACCTTTTTGATAATAAATAAGAAATATGTATTGAGCATCATATCAGCATATTAGATTGATTTCTGAAGGATCGTGCGACATTGAAGACTGAACATTCAGCTTTGCCATTCCAGGAATAATTTTTATATATATAAAAAAAAACAGTAATTTTAAATTATAATAATATTTCACACCATAACGGTTTCACTGTATTTTTGACCAAATAAAGGCAGCCTAGTCCATTTGTTCATTGTGAAAAATGTCCATGTTCAAACCCACCATAAACAATTCCTCTGCAGGGTAAATAAAAAGACTACTACTACAACTAGACTGGTTTGTTCAGTTAATATGTGGGTCAACTGACTGACTAAGACAGGAAATACTTTTCCTGTGAACCATAAAAGGGAGTAGGCTCTTCTGTTTCTATGATCTATGACCCCCGGGCCAGGATGTCACTGCAACACAAAAATCATTGACCCATGTCTTCATCAATACTGCTCAATCAAACTGAGAAGCTGAGCTACTAAACCAGGAATCTATCAATATTTTCTGTTTACTCCAATCAAAAGAATCATTAATATTACTTTGAACTAAATGTAAGCTTGCTACAAATAGTATTCATAGATGATTTTAATATTGTGTGTTGGTTCTCAGGTGGCGATAAAATCCATCCGTAAGGAGAAGATTAAAGATGAACAAGACATGGTGCACATCCGCAGAGAGATCGAAATCATGTCTTCTCTCCGCCATCCACACATCATCTCTATATACGAAGGTAGGCCTAGTCTTTCATACCCTTAACACACTCAGATAAAGCAGGTTCAAATCTAACTGAGACAACATACCTCATATGTATTCAGAAAAGAGAGCACAGTTTGGGATCCAAGTTGTCTGAATGGATCAAAAGTCTTAAAATCCCTTCACTTTGACTCTCAGTGGGTGTAAACTCCACACCCTTTGCTGCAAAACGGCGGCTTTTCTCAACTGCCAATCATCTTTAGATCGTTACCCTCATGTTTTATTTATGCGATCTGACCGCACCCTGCTAAGCCCAAGGGTGTTGATCAGGCAACAATATTGTTGGGGGTGTAGACTCTCTAATGGAGATGAAGCGGATGCATTGAGGCCATTACAGTCCTGCAGCAATCAGCATGTTTAAAAATGTCCCACGCATGTAGCTGTGCCTCTCAGAACATAAATCAAAAAACCCATCAAATCAGGCCCCAAGCACTGCACGCCTTGATACTCAAAACAAAGACTTGACAAAGCTGCTTTATCTCCACGCTGACAGAGGGAGACGCCACGGCTGTGGACTCATGCCACGCTCTCAGCCAGGGGTCATTATTACTGACCCTGGATCAGTCTGAGAGCCGGTGCCAAAACGGAGCACGCTCAGTCTTCTGTGTCTAATACGGATTAGCTGAGAGAGGTAATTACTCAGCGCTGGCCTGGGATTGAGTTCAGTGTCTTGAACGTGAACTTAACTTGTTTTCGAAGAGGTTATTCTAACAACCTCGGTTAGTCCTGACCTAGACAGTCAAAAGGTATCCACATACACATTTTGTTTGTTGTTGAAAGTGGCACCAAGAGAACTGAAGGAAACCCACTTGATCAGCAGGATTTTTCATCCTCTATTCGGTCCACTGACCATCACTGTGACGACCAGCCTCTGGGCACTAAACAATGAAGGGTCACTATGGAGATTCTCTTGCTGTATCAGCAGAAGGTTGAAGAGGATCTCAATGGAGGAACAGCTTCACTCCCCGTCAAAATAAAAACAAAGATTTGCTGAGGTCCCATTTTTTCCATCAGGTTCTCAAGAGAAACACTTCTCTGATTGGCTTAAATGATAGCTATTAATCGAAGAGCTGCTACTAAGAATACAACGTTGTGCAAAACACGTACCTTTTCTCGGAACGGGAATGTTTATGCCACCATCCCAGCTCACGCACACCGAATCTCACTTCCTGTCTGCACTTAACACCTGTTAACAGTTGTGGTCCCGCTTGCAAAGACAGCTCCTAATCGCCATGACCCTGACTAAAGCCAGACTTGCTGGCGATTTTGACTCCTACATACAGTACTGGCAGCGGCCCAACAAAAACTTGAGCCAAACAGTTAATGTCAATGATAGAGAGCTTTAGTTAGTAAGTCGGACTTAATGGAAATATGCTATTTTCATTTCCATGCGCCGTCCCTTTAACATGCATAATGCATTGATGTTGTGTAATCTAATAAAGTGCTGTTGTGTTTGTTTCTGTCTATTCACAGTTTTCGAGAATAAGGATAAGATTGTGATCGTGATGGAATATGCCAGTAAGGGCGAGCTGTACGAATACATCAGTGAGCGCCGAAGGCTCGGTGAAAGGGAGACGAGACACTTCTTCAGACAGATCGTCTCTGCTGTCCATTACTGCCACAAGGTGAGGACAGAGCCCACAAACATCATATCCGTGTGGTGAGAAAAATGAAACGGTACATTTACTCGTGACCCGCGTGTTGTTCTGTGTGGCGTTCTTTCTTCCATAAAATAAAATAATTAAAAAATAAAATAGTGATACAGTTTTGGAATGACATGAGGGTGAGTAAATGATAGACATTTAATCTTCTCATGTATTTCAATCCTTTAAATGTTTAGATAAATGTAGATTGTTACACCCTTTCTTATAATCTCAGTGCAAGATATGTTAGCAGAGAGCAAACTAAAGTGCATATGATTATTCAACGATGACATTGATGAAGTGTTTCTGTATTATGTCTGAGATTATAGCCTAAAAAATTCTAAAACAGCAAGTTTCGGCCCTGGATGCAAATTAGATGCAAAATTCTAGTTGTAGGATTATCTTGAATGAACTTGATCACAAAATGAAATGATCAAAAATGTGTCCTTAACACTTTAATTCTTGTAAAATATTTTTTACAAAAGCAATTAAGTTTGAGGCCATGCTTTCCCTGCTTAATAAAACAAATAAAACAGACAAAAAAGACAGAAACAAACAAAAAACAAACAGCCTAAGCTGGTTTGTCTGTCTTAGTTTGTCTTCCAACCTGTTCAAGCTAGTCTTTTGGCTGGTTTTAAAGGGAATTTTGTACTATTCATCTGGTCAGGCTGGTCGCCCAGCTAAACTTCAGCTTGGCCACACTAGCTAGACCAACTGAAGACCAGCTTGGGCAGGCTGGGAGACCAGATTTAACTGGCTGGGAGACCAGATTTAACTAGCTAAGAGCAGCAAACTAGCTTAAGCTGGTTTTAAGTGGGGTTTTTTTCCAGCAAGGATATTGTAAATGGGCTCTACTGCATGTCATGCCTTTAACCACTAAGTACAACACGCAGTGCTACAACTACACTTCCTATAGCACAGCGTCTCATACCTTAAATGAAGCCTCTCAAACTAAACAACTGACATCTGTGCAATGTTCACATGCAATCGACATGATCCACACATGAGCTCTCTATAGAGTAAATAAAATGATTTACTCTATGAAGGAGGACTTGTCATGATATGCGAGGGATAAACTCAACTTCCAAGAATGTCTCGATACGAAAGGTTGTGGAGCCAGAGAGCAGCTGTGCTCTTCTGTCCTGGTGCCAAGACCCGCCTCATCTCATATTTTCCCACTTTCCAAGCTTGATCATTCAAATTGACCTTTCACACTGATCCAGCCCATATTTCTTCATTGTTTTCTCTTTCATTTCACATTTTAGTGCATATTTTTCTAGTTTTACAGAGTTTAAAGGTAGGATTAAAGCAGAAGATGCTGTTCCTAGATCAGCACAAAGGGTTAGCCGGTACCCAGGGCTGTGTCAGCTGGAAAGTGAAGCGTCCCGGGGGAATTTAGAGTGGGTTTGGCCTTTGTTCCTTTACAGCTGGGCTGATGATGTCATCAACTCAGCTGGGGGATTCCAGCTCAGCCCTTCTGATCAGGGAGAGCCAGGAGGTCGTCACAAAAATGGGGGAGGTGATTCAAAGATCAGGCTATTTGACATTCGGGTTATGATACCGGAGAATGGGAAATGTCACTTTTTCCTTCCCTAAAATCACTGTAAAAAAAATTAGGTCCATTAACCTGTTGTAGGTCATCAAATATGACAAAACGTTGATCGAAAATCAATTATTTTGATGATGTCTTACAGAGCGGAGTAGTGCACCGAGATCTCAAGCTGGAAAACATTCTCCTAGATGACAACGGTAACATTAAGGTATGTTACAATTTTCTTCCAGTGATTTATTACTCACAATATTGGCCTGTTCTGATTCTGTCTTGCCTTCCAGATTGCAGATTTTGGTTTGTCCAACCTCTACCACAAGGACAAGCTTCTTCAAACGTTCTGCGGCAGCCCGCTGTATGCCTCCCCTGAGATTGTGAACGGACGACCATATAAAGGTCCAGAGGTACATTATGAACTAAAATTCTCCAGTTATGCAACTCTGTAGTGCCATTTAAGAGGTCTTCATTTTTCACCTTTAAAAAATGTAGGCTAGGAAACACAAATCACATACTTCCTGTCTGAAAAGATAAGAGAGAACAAAACACAGATAACAAAGAGAAAGAGAAAGTGTTTGAAACCACCCCCACCACTCATTCCAAATACCAACACACTCCAAACTTAGTCACTCCCCACACAGGAATCATTCCACACGCCAAGTCAGTCAGCGTACCAAACATCCTCTATAATCCAATGAGAAACAAAGACTGCCAAAAAGAATGACAACTAATCTCAAAGCTATTTTCAGGATATCAAGCATTTTACACCCCTTTCACGATTCCTAATATTTAATAGCCAAACCCTAAGCCTGTCTGGAACACAGGAATATATCACAATTCCCATAATATTTTTTGGTTTTATTGTATGATGATGACACATGCACAACTCTAAAAGCCTCTGGACATTCAATCATACAGTGATCCCCCTGGTCCCTCAATCATCCTTACATAACTCCAGACCATGGGAAAGGCAGCATTCTTCTCGCTGGTCAGAGATCAGTGGATCAGGGCCAACAATCACAGAGCTCCTCACATCTACTCAGGGTCAGATAGGTCTGGAGTTAGGGGAGTGGACGCTTCCTGCACTGCAATCAGCCTTTGTTTCCCTCGATACCTCCTCATTCCTGGCCTGCACCCCTGGCTAATCAGCAGAGGTGCAGAAGGGATCAGACGAGGTCAGGCACGAGAAATGATTAAATAACGAGCAGGAATTATGATGGCAGTTACTGCAAAGATATATGTGAGATTACCTATTGTTCTCATACATTTTAGGTGTACAATGACAGCTTGATTAAATGTTCATAAATATAGGTGGAGTTAACTTTATGGCCCAGACAGGAAAATAAAATTCCAGAACCTTTTAATCTATTGCTAAATGACGACGAGTCTTCACTGGCATGTGTTCAACTTGTACAAAAGGTCAACCAGTCTGTGAAGCCATTAAATATATCTATTTTTAAGTGTCATGATGCTCATTTAACAATTTGACAATGTTGACAAAAATATGACTAGAAAGAGAAGTTTTATTATTATTATATAATAGTTTGTTTTGTGTCACTTTGCACAACTCATAAACTAAAATAGTATTTTTATATTCATAGTAAAATTAAATCAATATGACATGATGAAAAATATATTTAGTCTATAGACAAAAACAAACAAAAAAAACCTGTAAGAAATAACAAACGCAATGCAAATTTAATTGAAAATGTTCCATAAACTATTTTCCAAAACTGTATCTCCCAGTGGACCAATTTACCAATGTGGTGTTGTTTTGACAGGTTGACAGTTGGGCGCTGGGCGTATTACTCTACACTCTTGTTTACGGAACAATGCCCTTCGACGGAGGAGACCACCAAAGACTCATTCGCCAGATCAGCAATGGAGAATACAGGGAACCGCCACAGTCATCAGGTATGTGTCTTCTCTACAGACATTTCAAAGTTGTCTGAACCCAAATCTCCCTACTGAACCCAAAGTTTCCTGACCGAGTTCAAATCTCTCCGTCTCATTCAGATGCTCGTGGTTTGATACGCTGGATGTTGATGGTTAATCCAGAGCGCAGGGCTACAATTGAGGACATTGCAAATCACTGGTGGGTGAACTGGGGCTGGAAGACCAGTGTGTGCGACTGCCAAACACAAAGGGAAAACAGCTCCCCCATGCTTGCCCGCTTCATTGACTGGCAGAACCGCACCGAGGTCCGTCCTGGAAAACCCCAGCGCCCAGAGCCTGGTAACACTAATGTCACTAATACAGCCTTGATTCCAGCCCGGCGTTTGAGAAAGTCCATGAAGGAGAACGATATTGGAATGTGGGGTGTAGCGGAGGAGAAGCCGGGCCTCAAGAGACCAAAGAGCATTCTGAAAACCCGGGCGACCAGTGGAGACCAACGATCTCAGAGTCTGTGTGAACTAGAGCTCAGGCGGTCCATTTGCTACCTAGACGTTGAGTCCGGTTCGAGTCCGGAGCGAGAGGACACTCTGGGTGGCTCGCCAGCCAAAATGGTGTCCATGTTACCTAAGAAAGGCATTCTGAAAAACAATCAGCAGCGCGAGTCCGGCTATTACTCCTCACCAGAGCGCAGCGAGTCCTCCGAACTGTTAGGGGGCGCTACTGCGCAGCCTCCTAACAGCTCACCCACCAAACGGTCTGTCGGGAGGAAAGGAATACTGAAGCGTAATGGGAAATATTCCACACACAGTGCTGTGGGAGTCCATGGGGAGGTCCCGGCTGACTCAACCCTCTCACGGAGCCAAAGCAGACCCTCTAGCATTGTGTACGAGGAGACGGGTCTCTCCAGCATGGGCTTGGACTGGCCTCCCGCCTCTCCCAAACCCAACATCCGTGGCTCACTGTCTGCCGAAGACTTGCTGCAGATGGCTGGATACAGGGGCCTTCAGACCGCTGCGCCCCTTCCCAGCGGAAAGGGTGCCCGCAGCCCCCCCGGCTCCCCTGGAGACAACGGCAGCTTCTCCTTGCTGGCCGATCTGGATGATGTCACCCAGGTGTACCAGAAAGCCCTGGACATCAGCAGCCAGCTGAGCTAGACTTGGACAAAAAGGCTGAATATACGGAGAGACTGAAGAGTGAATGATTCCTAGCTTGTCCTTCTCTTCACAGTGCTACTATGTAAACGTTTACAGGTCGAGAAGCGGGACATTTCAAATCTCCATTCACCAACTCGTGTTGATGAGCATTTCTCATGATATTCTCGTTTTAAACTCGACAGTTGAGGGGGAACAACGGAAGCACTTTAAAGAGGCTGTTCTGCAGCATGTAATGTACATGAAAGCTGGGACCGTGTTATTTAAGTTATTTATCTGTCATTCGTGTTTTGGCCATTTGAAAATGCCAAGGCCATTTCATATAGTCCTTGGGAGAGTGTTTTCATCAATACAGGTTATGAATTATGAAAAGTGTTAGATAAAGGCCATCTGAAAATATGTATAGTAAATTCTCATTGTATCATACCAGCGATTAGAGTGAAGTAAATGCACAACAGTCCATCAGTGATGCTAAGACTTGAGAAGCTAAGACTAAGAATTTGGAAGGAGTTTAATATACAGAAATAATAGTAGCACTATATTTTACAGTCCTGTTTCCCATGTACAGTACATACTATGTACTTATTATAGTAATTACAATAACTGGGTAATAATTAGGTACTAACCCTAAACCTAACCTTAACCCATAGTTACCTTATATTAGTACTTTCTTAGTACACCAAGTACACGTACTGTAAAATGAAGTGCAAATGAAATAAGAACATACTGTTTTCAACATGACAAAAAGTAACAAAAGGTACTACCATGGTATTCTTGAAACCCTCTGTTAGTATATATATATATATAACACTACCAGTTAATTTAGGCAGCCCTAAAATACTACAAACAAGAACCAAAAAATAACTAAATAAATACAAAAAAATACATTTGAGTATAATGATCATTTCATTACTAGGCCATATCAAAGTACCATATTATAATTTGATGCCATCACTTTACCATGGTACTTACTTTTTTGTAAGAGAAGTTAGAGGGTACCAAAAACACACTGAGAGGAAATCATGATCCCAGAGCTCAATTTTAACTTATTGTAACAGAGACAGAGCATTGCAAATGTTTACATATCTCTGAGATCAGTTAGAGAGCAACTAGTGGAACACAAAGCACATGCAAGGGCAAAGGTTGTATCAGTGTTATGATACCATACATTCTCATTCTCTGTTACAAGCGTGTGTGACACACACACACACAATGCACATAGACAATTATATGAGCTCCCTGAAGCATGAAAGTGTGGAAGGACAAGTTTTGACCTATGTTGTAGTTGTGGTCCAGAAATGACCTGCTTTTCAACAACACATGTCATTTAAGACAGGAAAAGAGATGTCAAACTGTTCTTTTCAAAAGGTGGAGTGTTAAAATACATATTGAAGCCAGTATATTATGAAAACAAAGATTAAGAATGAAAAGGTTTCTGTTAAAAAATGGGAATCAAAAGGTCGCTTTTCGAACTGTAAAATCTTCAGGAAGTAGTATATTGTGCATGTGTTTTTTTGTTCAACATTCAATGGCATGCCAAGATAAACTGAAGATATAACATGCCATTTTCGCTGTATTTTCTTGTTTGTTTTTGGTTGTTATTGGTAGTTTCATTTCTACACTTGCTCACACAGGCTTAATTTCAAAATATTGGTTTCATGAGGCATTTTTACTGTAGGTTAAGTATGAACAACAGCTTTAAACTATAATTATGTGCTTAATATTAAAATCTGTGTTAAGATATACAAGGCATTTATTTCAACCTAAGCATCAATGTGGCAGTTTTATATGAAGTACAGTATAACCATTTACATATATAAAATTAACTGGAAAAATAATTTTATAGGATATCTGTTATAGGCCATTTAGAAAACTTGACTGGATATACTACATATTTAAATTGTGTTATTTAATGCGTCTTGTATTATATACTGTACATTGTCATGGCTATTTGTTATTCTGTACCTTTTTTTCAACTTTGACTTACGATTGTCTTGATTTGTGCCTTCATTGACATAAGATTGTCCTAAAAATGTTAAAGTTATTCTCAGTTTAAATAATTTGTAACATTGTTTTTTAAAGATTGTCTGTATGGTTTGTTATGCGCACAGTTAGGTGGTGTATTAAGCCGTACTGTGCTGTTTGTGCTCAGTGCAAAACAGTCACTTCTTTTAATAAATGTCTCGATCTAAATACCATGTGTGTGTGTCTGTGTGTCCACTCACTTCATTAAATGAAGAACACAAAGTACACATAAAAGTTTAGAGCCTCTCAGCCAACCAACCAGCTGTTCCAGGATCAGTGTCATAAAAAATATATATATATATATATATATATACACACACTACTCATTGTTGAGACTGGTGTGCTGACCTTGTTGTGTCAGGCCAAATACATTTCTTGTTGTTTGTTCCTTAGCCCGCATGATCACAGTGCAACACAAGCACACATTTCTCAAAGTAATGCATTTACTTCTCACGTGACCTTTTCCAAAACGGCTAAATCCCTCACGTACATGCATTCAAAAATAATTTTTGCATGAATAACTAACTCCAACATTTACTATGCACTACATTATTCTAAATAAAATCCAGTCTCACAGTCACATAATTTATTTTTTTATATAAATTATTCATTGCCGTTCAAATTTTTTTAATAAATCTATTATGCTCACCAAGGATGCATTTTTTTAAACAGCAATATTGTGAAATATTATTAAAATTTAAGGTTTTCTATTTTAATATATTTTAAATTTAATTTATTCCAGTGATGGCAAAGCTGAATTTCCAAGATTTTCAACTCTTGCGTCACATGATCCTTCAGAAATCATTCTAATATGCTGATTTGGTGCTTAAAAATTATTATTATTATTATCATCATTGAAAACAGTTGGGTTGCTTAATATTTTAAGGAAACCTTTATTTTTTATTTTTTTTCAGAAATCTTTGATTAACCAACAGTTCAAAAGAACAGAGACATTTTCAGTAACAATATAAAAGTATTTCTTGTCACGTTTGATCTGGGTGAACTCAAAAACGAGAGAGAGCTGGATCCATATGCAGTGAGTTTTATTAACAGAATAAACACCAATAAATCCAACATGAAGATCAGAGAACCAGGGAACAGAAAGAGCACACCAAACAGCCACGAAGGACCAAGAACATGGGAAAACACTGGAGTATAAATACTACTATACACAGTATAAGACATAAGAAAATACGCATTGTTTGATGGAACTGCTGGAAAAGTTTAAACTTGAAAAGTCACTTCCTAAACAACCCTAAAAGGTTAAGATGGATTTAGTGTGGAAAAGCAAGCACAAGACTGTGTTTGCATGGGCCAGGCTTTGCAAAAAAAAAAAAAAAACTGTCTCTTCATATGGCTGGAAAAATAATCAACAACAGTCAGGAAAAGTTGGTGTGTATGTGTGATTGTTTTAGTGGACACTCGCCCTGTTGCATGGTGTGAAACTCATCATTTACGACCTAATGCCTTCCGTCTGTGACTAAGTAGGTGTGTGTGTGTTTATGTTTGCGGGTTTGTGCAAGAATCTGTGAAAAATCTTCTGTGTCGGCACCTCCTCTATACAAACACACATCCCATAAATCTCAACTAATTTTAGCTCAGCGTTTGCCCACAGTTTGCATTAATGCATGAGCTGCTCTGGAAGTCTAGGCTACTTGTCTCTTAGGAATGTCTGGCCTTTTGAGCAGCAACCACTACAAAGACACACAGAGAGAAAAAAAGGAAAGGGATGGTGGGGGGAAAGGGAGATTGAACAGACAAAAAAGGTGAGAGCGCTTCCAGTCGGACAGCTGATGTCAAAGCCTCATTTTGAATCCTGACCGCATGGAAACCACGGCTACTGACAGCACAGAATCATACAAAACAAAGGCCAAGAGCGGCAGAGATTCACTCCTTGCACTTTTCTTGCCTTTTTGTGAAAATGTGTTGATGTTTAGGTTTGTGTGTGGTCCAACCAAACAGAACGTCTAAATCCAAATAGGACGTAACGGGATAGCTCTCTCTTTCCTGAAGGAAAAAAAAAGCTTTTTCTCTCATTCCAGAGAGTGCTCAACCCATCTGGTCTTGATTGAAAACAACCCCCTTTTGTTCTCAAGGAGCTGCCTTGAATCACTGCAACAAGATCAAAGATAGATGTCCATTATTGCTGAATTAGGATCAGCTTACTATTCTAATACAAACCTACACTTGAGAAAGACAAATGTGGTGAAACTGTTCTCAGATCAGCCCAGACACCTGACATTTACCAACACCCAGCCGTTTATCTGAAACCTCATGAGCCGCGTCCTCTTAGGTGAGATGAACGATCAAGGGCTTCCATCCTCTCTCCTATCCCATAATCCCCTCTCCCTCTATGCTTTCACACCAATATCAAAGCCCTCCAAATATTTTTCCTCAAGTTCTTCTCATTCTTTATTCCTCCTGGAAGACCGTTAGTATTCTGTAGATTTTTTCAATGGTGAAAGGAAAGAAAAGCTCGTGAAAGTTCACCTGATCTTAAATATGTAAAACAGACGGATGATGGCAACATGCCCACACATTCAGTCTGAGAGTTGAGTAGCTGAGTATGTTTCATCCTTTGTCATATACATACATTCATATATACAGTATATATATATATATATGATATTAAATTGTGCATGCTCATTTGTAAATGTATAGATTTGTATTTTCCATTATCTAACATCATCTAACATCTTGAATCTTTCATCTTTAATTTAACTTTAATTTGATACTAATAATTTAATAAATTGTTTAATGTAACCTTCAACCTAACGTAAATGTCAATATATAAATGCATTTTTCAAACCATACATTATAATCCTGAGATATCTTAAAGTTTAGTATTTTATTTTTCATTTGTTCAGACAAAATAGTATACATTTCATAAAAAATATTTTAATGGTTACCAGCCATAACATGAAAATAATTATCAATTTGCTTAACTTTAATATTGGTGCATCCCTATAATTTTTAAAAGTCTAATTGAATAAATTCTCTGTTTAAATAATTAAATTACATATTGTGTGTGATACATACCTAATATAAAGTGGCTATTTCATTAAATAAATCAATAACAGAACATTTTTTACCCCAATTAATTTCTTGAGAGTTTTAGTTTAAACATGATTGTGGGATTGGATTCGTATTTAAGCAACTATGTTCTTTTAGAAATTGCTCAAGACTGAATCAAAGCCTTTGTTTGGATCTAATTGGTGAAATACTCCACATACAGTACATTCCATTTGATGAGGACGTCTCATATTAAACGGATGACAGATTGATGAGTAAAACACCACACTGGCTGAAGAAGACCAAGTAGACCTGGAGGAAGCAGGCCAAATCTGCACAGACATAACACAGCCTGCAGCGAAATGAGCTGGCACTGTGTGTGGGAATGATAATTGGCAAAAGTTATTTTGCTAACAAGTCATAAGTCTAATTGATCTCTGAGCTGTGAGGAATATATTGAGCATCAAATTAGAACCACCTCAAATTATATAGATTGCGGACCCTGCTGCGAACTTGAGCACATGCATTTCACAAGTTTCCTTGGCTAAATCGAATCCAAATCTCTGTAGCCTAATAGAGGGTTAGTAATTCATCTGGATT